AGAGTGCTGGGGTCAGCGGACCCCAGGCAGATGCCTATCCAGCCTTCTCTTAAAGACCCCCCCATGTAGGGGAGAGCACCACCTCCCTTGGAGCCCATTCCAAATTCTGGCCACCCTTACTGTTAGGCTAGATATCAGGAAAAACTTCTTAAGTCTGCTCTCTTGTCAGTTTGTGACCATTGTTCCTTGTTACCCCAAGAGGCGCCCTGGTGAACAGAGCATCTCCGATCCCTTGCTGCGCCCCACTAATGAATTTGTAGGTGGCCACAAGATCCCCTCTCAGCCTTCTCTTGCGGAGGCGGAAATGGTCCAGGTCCCTCACGCTCCCCTCATAGGGCTTGGCCTATAAGCCCCCGACCGTACGAGTGGCTCCTCTGGACCCTCTCGAGTCTATCAACATCCTTGACGTACGGTGCCCAAAACTGGGTTGGCGCGCTCCCACCCAGCACGTGGGACTCGTAGCTGGGGGGCTGCCTGGCAGGGATGTGCATGCAGGGTACAGCTGCCCAGGGCCACAGCTCTGGGCAGGGGAGAAGCTGTGGTGCCACACGCCCTTACCAGGTACTGGGTGCCCGTCTCAGCGTTGTGGAAGTGGCGGCAGCTCTGCGGGAAGCGGCTGAGCAGCACCTTGATAAGGCTCTGGTACCACGATGCCGTCATGGTGAGGAAGCAGCCCTGTGACACAGAGCGGGTGAGGCAGGCCCCGCAGCTGCCCTGGGCTGTGCCGTCCCTGCACCCCCACCCCTGGGACCGTGCCATGGCCATGGCCCTGCCCCAGCGGGCCCGGACTCACCAGCTGGGGGTCGATGTCAGCGATGGACTTGCCGTGCACGGCATTGAGCAGCTCCTCCAGCTCAGCCAGTGACAGCTTGCCCAGCTTGAGCTTGTCCGAGGCTAGCGGCTCCAGCAGGAAGAGGCGCTTCCACAGGTTGTCGCGGCGGCAGTGGCGCTTGGCCAGCTGCACCAGGCTGCTCAGCTGCTGCTGGGCCGAGGCCACCTCGGAGGCCAGCAGCGGGAAGAGGGGCGAGGTGTAGAAGAGGCCGGGGCCCAGCTTCACAGGCGAGCTGCCCGCGTAGAACTCGCCCCCGTCCTCCGCCTCCTGCCAGGGCTCCCGCTCTGCCGGCTGCTGCCGCTCCAGCCCTGGCCCCGGTGCCTCCCCGGGTGCCCGGCCCACCACAGGCTCCAGCATGTCCCGCTGCAGATGCGGCAGCTTCTTGAAGCGGCGCCTGTCAGCCGTGAGCCGGGGGAACAGCTCCCGCTGGCTTGTCATGACCACGTAGAAGCACAGGCTGGGGTGGTGGATGCCGTGAGACAGGGGGGCCCTAGCCTGCCCTGTGCCCACAGCCCCTGCCCGCAAGGCTGCCCAGTTCCAGCCCAGCCCAGCCCCTCCTGGCTTTCCCCCTGCCCCTCGCCTGCTGCCCACGGGCCAGCCAGGCCCTGGCCCCCGCCCTCACCGGAGCACATGTCTCTCGGCCTCACTCTGCTCCTCGAAGGGGGCCGCGCTGTGGCACACCAGCAGGGACACGTCGAAGTCGTCGTGGTGACGCAGCCCCTCCGAGTCCTTGTAGGAGCCCGAGCTGCAGGCACAGGCGGTAGGTAGTGCCTGGCTGCATCTCCCTCCCCTCCCGGCAGCCCCAGCACCCAGGCTGCAGGGCTCAGCACAGGACCACCTCAGCAGTGCCAGCCTGGGTGAGACCAGGGGCCCACGTAGCCTGCCCCCAGCAGTGCCCAAAGTGGACTTGCTACAGGGGGACACTGAACCGGATCTCTAGTGATGTGTCCCGGGCAGCACCCTCCCTGGCACCTGGTGTATTGGGCTAGAGATGCCAGAGGAAATGTCTCCAGCCGGTCTGTTCAACAGCCATGAACACATCTCAGCCATGAATTTAGCCCGTCCCTTTCTGAACCTGGCTGTGCTGTCTGCCACTGCCACCTCCTGCAGCAACAAACTCCAGGAGTTAACTACACTTTGTGTAACAAAGCACTTCCTCATTAGTTTGAAACCCATCACACACACGTCAGCAGCTACCCCCTAGTTCTGGCGTTCTGGGACTTGGCGAACAAGTTCCCTGTTCCCTTGCTCCATCC